TCCTTTAGAATTTCCTACAGGACTCCTAATAGGATATCATACGGGGTATTTTATAGAATTTTCTACACGATTTCCTATTGGGTTCTGCCTACTGGATTTACTATAGGATGTTCTATATAACCTTAAAGAGTAGTTCCTCTAGGACTCCCTGTAGGATTTTATATGGAATTTTTTCCAGTTTAATTTTCTGCAAGAGTTACTATAGGGGTTTTCTGTAAAATTGCCTATAGAATTTCCTTTCCAGAGTTTATGAAGGGAGGTCTATAAGGGTTATATAGAGTCTTATAGAGCGGCCGCAGGGAATGCGATTTTAACGCAAATGCGGATTTATAGGGGTTTTTGGAGTTCGTATAGGGACATGCCTATACCTATACCTATATTCTCATAGCGGAGGGTGTGCCTGTACCGCTCACCGGGTAATACCGCTCACCCGATTTTTTCCACAACCATAAACTTGAAAATTTCTTTATGTTCCTGATCATGAAGAATTTGATGATAGCATGTGATTGTCGGAAAAATTTCACTTTATTTACCTCTTTAAATATGAAAAACCACGTAACGAAGTTTTGAGGTCTTTACAGTGCAAAATTTGTGGACTTGCAATTAAGGTTTTTGATAGTTTCAAACGCTGAATTCTCATATTAAACTGTGGTTATTCAATTCGTGGTACTTTCACGCGTAATTTGAGACCAATTCGAACTCAAAACTCCACTAATATCAATAATTATCAACAATTTTTTTGATGCCGTGCGGAGCGGGTAATATCGCTCATAGAATCGGCCACGTAGTTGTTCGACAGCACTCGAGTACAGGTTAGGTTGCGGCGCGAGCGATACACGCAAAACCCTATGAGCGGCATTGGAATCGTGCCGAGCGGTATTACCCCACGGCGGGTAGTACCGCTCAATGGGCTCTCTCTTTTATTTTCAATCAATTTTGTGGATTCTAAGGAGAATTAGGCGTCTACACTTCGAGAATAACGAGTTCAATAGTTGAAGAAGTCTCACAAATAAGTTTTTTATACTCAAGTTGAAATATAAAATATAAAACTGGCATTTCCCCTTAGGTGGGCGGTACAGGCACACCCTCTCCTACCTGTATCTACACCACAGCTGTATGTACTCCAGCTACAGGTATAGATATATTTATAACTATCGATATGCATAAGTATATTCATAAATATACTATGTCTATGAGTATAGTTATAGTTGAATTATAGCCGAATAGATGGGCGTAGAAAACGTTATATGGACTTTAGTAAAAATCATTATAAAAACAAGCGGATTGAAATTACCTCGAATTCACCCATCATCCCTGTTTTAACGATTAATTTCGATAATTGACAGATGAATTTAGAATACCCTCATCGTACCTTCAGGAAACTTATTTATTCAAAATAAATTCCGATCACTGATACTATATAGAGACACAAATGTCACGATGAATAATAGTGCATTTCAGTCTAAGATGGTGACTGTCAATAATTAAGAACCGTGCAGCTGCTGGCATAACTCAAACATTAATTCATCTCGAAATGCTTTCCCTGCTTTGTGAAATAATAAAAAATCCATTGATTCTCATTATCACATGACTATTGCACATGACATCGCAGAGTGATTTTAAATTTTGCATTGTATATTTAAAATAGCAGTCTCCCTCCATGAAATTATTGTATTTATACGAAAAACCCTTGTATGCGTGTGTGTGAATCGATCTCAAGAGTACAAAGTCGTCAATTCACTCGTCGCTCACCCCTAAATTGACAAACTGACGAGAGGAACCCTTACTAATTTGACCAAAAAAGGCCGAGGAAGATTCACAACTTCGACATCCCATGGCTCTCCGAACATTCATTCCCACTCACCAATTGGTTCGGAGTATTCATCCAACAGTACGTGGCCCATCGAGCCAGTCTCAGCATCCAAAAAGTTCACTGCGTACGACAAGAGCAGTACTCGAATACACTGATCCCGATGCAATAGAGGTACTAGCAACATCATCAAAAAATATGGATAAACACGATGCAGTATCATACAAAGTTGATCCAGCCTCGGTGAATTTTCTCCTCGGTCGTACATTATCAACAATAACAGCTGAACGTTTGTCTCACTCACTATCAAAATCACCGAAATACGAGAGAAATACGACATCAAGAAACCGACGTAACACACGTGACAGAACAAATCGTGACAGTCATCACAGTGATGATTCAATAGTCGTGAGTTTCATTGATGAAACTATAAAACCCGATCATTCGTCTGATCATGAACAATGGCATCCTGGTATGCTGGAGGAGAGATCTAAAAGTTTTGTACTACCGAGTGCTAGCAGACGTTCACCACTCATTGGTAATCGTACGGACTGTTCTAATAGAGAGAAAACGTACCTGACAATGAGCCCTCGTAATAATCATCGTAATCATCAAAATCAACGACAACATCATGATCCATCCATATCTTCTTCAACTTCTTCATCATCTTCCAGCACCATTCACATTACCATGCTACCACCACCACCACCACCACCAATCACCACCAATGTTATTGCCGAGACAGCCTTGACGTCACCTTCACGGGTTAGAGACTTTCCCCCCATGACGACATTACGTGAACCGAGATTATTTTATTGTTCGATTATGATGAATAGACGTGCACGAATTCATTTAAATTGGTATAGAACAGGGATGCGAAAAAATGACATGACACGTCACTGACCGGTCATGTGACACGGTCAACCATGACAATTTATTGTCACATGACTAGGGATGGGCGATATTTTTCAAAAACATCAATGTTGTCAATCGATTCTTCTGGAAAAACCATCGATGATTTAAAAAATCGATGTTTTTCTCATGACATAGGAACAAAAATTTAAAAATCACATTTTTAAAAACAATAGACTATTGGACTTATTCACTTATCATTTATAAGATACATGCTACTGTAGAAAATAGTTACTTCTGATTGCGGATAAATTATTATTTTGTTTATTCGCAATCAATCAATATTATTATTCGACAAAAAAATAAAAAATGTTGTTAGCTCGGTCAGAAGCATCGATGTTTGGAAAAAAGAATCGAAAATCGATTAATCGGCCGTTGAAAACATCTAATGAAAAACATCGATGTTCGGGCATGAAAAATCGATGTTTTCAACCCTACACAAGACACAAACGGGACTGTTTTACTGTCACCGTCACATCTCATCTAATTAGTGGCACCCCGGGTGGGGGTAACTAGTTCAAAATTCGAAAATTCCCCATGATTACCTCCATGGATGGACAATCACAAAGTGTCAATATGCGTGTCAGTCGTATTTCGGTTTAAAAAAGAAAAATTAGTGGTGAGTTTATTGACGAAGTGTCATTTTTCTCACTGGGAATGGTCGAACAGTTGAGATCAACGAATAAAATAAATTCACACCAATTTTTCATCCCAATTTTTGACATGATATTCATCTGAAAATTACACACAATTTTGAAACCGGATATTCTACAGAAATTTTCAACTGAAAAATTCACTCCACATTCAATATTCTCTACCTGAAGGCCTTCAGGCGCTGGGCGCGTGGGCAAGTGAACCTTCGAAACGAACAACCGATGCAATTTGAAAATGTGTGACAAGATTTTGTAACAGAAAAATTTTTGACGGTCACATTACATCTAACTAGTTGATTATCATATGTGAATCGACAGTGTGACCCAAATTATGACATGAAAAAACGTGACGTCACATGACGGTCACATGGCCGTAATATTTTTGTGACCTGACAGATTTCAAAACGTGACGTCATTTCGCATCCCTGGTGTAGAACGTTTCGATAGTGCTGTGTATTTGCTTGTGTTTTAGGGTCAATGTTGTGTGATCATTAAATGTCTTCTATTCTTACAATTATTCATAAAAGAAAAAACGACATAATCTTTAAAATGAAGCTGAAGTTTTCAACTTTCGCTCAATCCGGTATATGTTGAGATTATTATGAATTTTTTTTCTATTCATAACTGTAATCCAAAAACACAGCCAATTCTTTGCATTGTGGTCGCATTCAGATGTGGTTTTCATCTATTAGGATGGCTTTCCAACTGTTTTATCATTTATCATCACCAGCAGCCACTCAGGATTCTCTTGAAATTATTCATGAATGTTGTTTGAATGCATATATGGCTGTATTCCACTTTACACCTCGTGTCATTTAGATGTTTACTCCTTTGGATCCATTCAAAATCATCTCCAACCATGAATAATCCGTTTTCCCTTCGTTGGCTAGAGTTCTCTCGCTATTATCACACTTGATTTTGTCAAGCTACTGCTGCTTTAAATTCATTGCTTCTTTTCTCATTAGACTCATCGGTGTCATCGTTAACACGTTTTAATTGGTCTCACCTTCAGACTCACTGTCGCTTGTTTGTTTATATGTGCAGCATGTTTTTTCTTCAATCAACATGTGGAAAAGTCGTTTACATTATTCACTGAATTAAAAAAAATTGTACTTCACAGATTCCGAATCATTGATGATCAAGACAATTCATCTTGCCCCAGTCTCTGATTCATTTTGTAGTCATTGAAATTTCATTCAAACGGAACATCATTAATATTTTTTCACATAAAATGAAGTAAAAAGGTGAAACTTCATTTTTTTCAGTTGAGGGTTTTTTTTATTTCTGTGACCATTGATTCAATCCGCTAGCATATGTAGTACCCATTTGCAGAGTCGTTCACATTCGTTAATTACTCGTGACGGCTCTTGAATAAATGAAATAGAGCAAAAAAAATGTTACATTCGCCGAGGTCAGAAGAGTTTATATACAGTATTACACGAGGGGACACTGTAACTATCTCATTATTTCGGTAAAATTATTTCGCCGTGCACGCGTTTTCACAAGCATGCTCCAAGTTTAATGAGTATTTCGAATGACATCCACGAGATTATTACACTAAGGTCTAACTATTAATTATTGTGATGCTTAAGACTGGAAATAATTATGTTATTACAATATTTCAGCCTTTCGATCAACGTAATCCACATGCTGCCAAGCCATACATGAGTCAGTGAGTATTCATTAAATTTTTATATTCTTAAAAATGTGTTACACCATTTCGCCAAAATTCACGTTTTTTCAATTTTTTTTGGTAAATTGTTGGTCGGGTTGACGTGAAAAAATATACCGTTTTTGCGTTTTATCATTACTTAATGACTCACGAAATTTCATGATCGTGCAATCATTATTACTTTCATTACATAATCATTTTCCTGCGTTTTTTTTAACTTTTCGGAAATTCACAAAACTTTAGAAAAAATGCAGGAAAATGATTGCACTACCATGAAACTTCGTGAGCCAGTCAATAATGATAAAACGCAAAAACAGTATATTATTTCACGTCAATCCGATCAATAATTTGCCAGAAAAATGAAAAAAAAAACTTGAATTTTGGCCTTCAAATCATTTCAATCTGAGTTTCAATCCCCACTCCCTCTGAAACATATCCATTAAATGAACTGCAAACATGACAAGCTACATGAAAAACACGCTTATTTACATTATATCAATCGGCCACAAGCTTCTCATTGATGTAACAATTTTTTTGTTCAAATCAATATTTAAAAAATTATGCGTACAGCAACGGGTTTATACGCATATTCTCGCATTTCATATTATCTCCTATCATTTTTTTTGGTACGGAGTTGGTAGCAGCACAATACAACCACACGCACCAAGGAGGGAGCCCGGGAATTTACAAATTAAATTTGACGCATGAATGATGAATTCCACAGATATTTTTCATTTGGATTCTGTGCATAAATGAATTCTCGAAAGTGATGGGATTGAAATTCAGTAGAACTTTCGTTTTCGTGAGTGGAAAAAAGTAAAAAAAAACTTTTATTCCATTTCGGGAAACAGAAATAAAAGGTCAGGAGAATAATCATGTGGCCGTTTTGAAAAAACTTGCAAAATCACCTTAAAAAACAAAAACAAATGTTTTTGTAAAAAAATTGCGCGAAGAACCAATTTAGTTTGATTCTTACTGAACAGTAGAAATTTTTGAAAAATACGAAGGAATGAAAAAAAGTCAAGTTAGAAATTTTAAATGAACGGCCATAAGCCACAATCAGATGTCGATGAGAAAAATATTTCTAAATCGAATAAGAATTGGAGAAAAATTCCCGATGAAATAAAAAATTACTAGAAGCAGGATCAACGTCCTTGCTACGGAGTTTTTCAACTCACTCTCGAGTATCCATCTAATCTCTATATTCTAATTCATACCAAGGATGTTGGTCCTGCTTCTACAGATTTTTTATTTCATAGAGAATTTTTACCCAATCCTTATTCGATTCAGAAATACTTTTCTTATAGATATCTGATTGTGCCTAATGGCCATTCATTTGATATTTATGACTTGGCTTTTCTCATTTCTTTGTACTTTTGAAAAATTTCGACTGTTCAGTAAGAATCAAACAAAACTTTTCTTGCCACAGTTCTTTTCCGAAAACATTTGTTTTTATTTTTTGAGATTTTCGAATCAAAATAGAAAAAAATTGAAATTCAATTATTGAGATGAAGAAAAAAAAACACTTCTTATTTTCCACAAACATCTGTACACAATGTTTTCCCTGCAGTGCTCTGAAGGAATCCGGCTACGAGAGCGATTCAACTCTTATTTTCCGTCGCCGTGATGACGCCAGTCCTCTGAGTCCACTTGAACAGAGATTGGCATATAAAACAGTGCAGAAGGGCGGTGACGTTCCACTTCACGGTCTTCGGAAACCAGCTCCCGAGCGTCCAAAAGGTAAGCTCATTATACTTCTAGAAAATAAAATTTTTAACTCAACAAAAATGAAAGAAAAATGCAACCAAACTTTTACTCGCTTTGGCAAATTTATTTAAAACTCTACACAGGCTTACCAAATTATCCAACATATTTATCTTCGTGCATTCGATAGATTCATTGTAGAAGTTGCCGTTTTCTTAAGAGTTTGCTTAGTGACTTGACCGTGAATACCTACGAAGCTTGAAATAATTTTCAATTATTTGACCTGAATGACAAGTTTTTACTGCATGGCATTGAATTTTGGCACGATCACTAGCAGAACATCAAAACGCTGTTAAACTATATTGAAAATCCACTCGTTTCACACATACCACACCACATATTCGGCATTTATCGTTGAATAAAGCCATTATTTACGACATTAATACCCAAACCAAACACAATCAGCACTGCTGTGCCTCAGGAATCTCTCAATAATGGGTGCTCAGGTTATATTTTACTCAATTTTTATTTTCAATAATATTTTTACAAAAACCTCTGCGTATTTTTTTTACTGCTAACTCACTGGCACGAAGAGGATTAGTAAAAAATCCATCCATAGAAAATAAACACCGCTCCACGAATGACAGCCTAATGGTGAAAGGACCCTGGGATAGCTACAAAAATAAAGGACAACCCCAATAAAAAAAAACAATCAAAAAAATCCATCAAAAATATTTGTCCACAGACGACGCTGAAATTGAGTACTTTCCGATATCTCGGACATTAACCAGAATACGTGTTCGTCGCAGGACTTCGTCGAATTCGATGTCTTCGATGACCCTCGATAGGTACAGAAGGTCTACCCCATCATCAACAATAGTGCCATCGCGCGCCAATCTCATCACAACACTCCCCACCAAATCCCCAGGACGAGTTTCCCAATCAATCACCTCTGTTTCACGACAAAGGCCGACATCCCCAAATCGTCCACCATCACCCCCAAGGAGATTATCCTCTCGACACAGTGTAACCTTGAAACTCTACGCATCCAGTTACCCACACCCCCCTAATCCCCGGCACGAGCAGTGTTTCAGTGCCGAGGCAACATCAAATATCAGATTCCTGAGGGAGAGACTGAGCAACAAGTTGTTAAAACACGAGCAGGCGAGAACACCTAGAAATTCAACGATACCACGCGCTTCCTCGGCGAGTCCATCATCCCCGTATCGACCAAAACTCCAGCGGTCAACCCTCCCCAAACGAAAATCCGAGCCGTGTCTGTTGAAAAAATCGGAGCCCGATAAATCAATACGCGTAACCAAATCATCGACCTTATCGAGAACAACAGAACTCAAACCTCCAGCTGGAAGACTCACCAAGCCAGCTATATCAACAGAACCATCACGCCAGATACGAGCAAATAGCTCTCCTCCGGCTATAAAAAGAGACCAAAAAGTTCGTCGTTGTAAGAAGGATACAGATGAAACTTTAAAACGTGCCTCATCCACGGACTTATCGTCGTCACCAGTTGAAGTTAGAAGGTTACGTCGACAGGTAGACGCGAGTAATGCATTAACAGGATCTGTCATCAGGAGTAACTCCTCGTTATCCAGGGTGAAAAGCCAAGATACTGGGTTATCCAAAGTAATCTCAAAGTCTCGAGATAACCAGCGTACGACAGGGGTGAGTCAGACGTTAAGAAGTTTCTCACCGGTGTCCGCTACTTCAGGTAAAACCATTACGGAAACTTTTAGACAAAAATCATTGACAGCTAAGGGGAGGGATAAATTCACCAATATCCAACAAGCTCTTCCACCAGCTACGATAGTCTGTGATCCAGGTACACGTAAAAGGGGTCCTGATAAACCGCAGACGATTGTGAAACCTCCGAACAAGAAGCCGGACCCCTTTGTTATAACAAAGAACGTTGAGAAGAAGAAGAACACGAAGAATTCTAAGGTTAAATCATCAAAAACAAAAAAGACAAACGGTAAAGTTGATTTCGATAAGAAAAAGGGAAAGAAGATTACGGATAAATCAACTGAATCAGTAAAAAGTGAACCAAAATTGACGATGGAACGAATCAAGCAACATACGGAAGCTACAAGGACCGATAATTTCTTCCAGAATCTCTTCCTTCGTAACATTCCTTCGCCAACACCATCGCAGTCTAGCACCCTCAGGAGGTCTTCTGTCCTGGAACGCGCTCGAATGTTTCAAGAATTTGGAACTGATTCCTACAAATCGGAACCTTCTCTCCGCTCTCTCAATGTCTATCTTTCAACGAAGCGGCCGGTGTCAACATCTCGCTTCAAAAATTGGGAGAAGGACAGTCTATCCTCCCGCAGCTCCAGTCCCTACGGTGTCAGCTGGCCGGGCCGCTCACCATTCCAGAAGATCAGTAAATTCGACAGTCTCATCGGAATGGACGAGTTCGGATCATCCGCCTCTCTCAGGGGTCGCAGTCCAGAATTAAATAACGAAGGCCTGAAGGAGAGAAGCCTCAGTGAGCCCCCGATCAAAGTGTCTTCGGTATCGGAAGTTTCATCAAAACTGATGATCCCTTCGATTTCACGGTCCTCCTCCCCATCTCCAACGCGTTCCGCTGCCTGCAGGCGGATCAGAAGCCTCAAGCAAGAGAGATCAGAATTTCCCCCGCTCAAGATCAGAGCAAAGAGCGCGAGTGAAGCTGACGACTCCGAACGCCGGAAGATTACTTTCGGCTCGAATTTGTCTTTAGCTAAGAGCACAAGTTCCTTGGAATCTCCTCCCATCAACAAAGCTGAGTATCAACGCTATCTCTTCGAGATCCTTCACTCCAAGAAAAAGTCCTCAAGGTACAAAGAACTCCACGACTTCTACGCCAGTCTCGAACGAATGGGTGAACTAGTGAAGACAACATCAACCAGTGATATGCGACGTCGTTTTAAGAACGAGGAGATCATCGACTACGATCGCTGGCGTGAAATACGTGCCAAAGAACGGGCTGAGCAAGAGTTAAAAACCCTTTACGGTAAACTCAAAGATGTTCAACGTGAAAAGGATTTTTTGTTCAGTACAAAGGACATTGAGAGCTATAGATGGCGTGGCGATTGTGGTCTAAGGTGCAAAGAAAGATCAGTGGACAACATACGCGAGAGTTTTCACAGGTTGGCTAAGGAGGAAAGTGAACTTGAGACTACCAGAAGACGTGATATTGCATCTAAGAAAGACGTTTATAAGCCACTGTGGAGAGGTAACTCAGTTGTGAATGTAGCTAGTAACATGACAAAGAAAGCGAATGGAGAGAAGGAGATCGATAAGTATATTCAACCTACTCTGCAGAAAAGTTTAGGCGGTAGTAACAAGTTTTGGAGTAGTTTATCGGTGGAGCAAGTGAACACTTTGAAGAATCAATTGAATGAAATCTATGGCACGGAGAATGGTAGGAAGGGGGGAGTGAAGGATGAGGGAGAGAAGTGTGACCAGATTGACACGTGTGAGGAGATAAAACAGACGGTCCAGACAGTTACGAAATCACAGTATGAAGTTGTAGTTCCTGAGGAGTTTGGTGAGGGGATTGAAGAGTCAAAGGGACTTCATGTCAGATGTCACTCGATGTTGATGTCGGACATAAGAGCATCATCGGAGACAAAATTGACGTCTCCGTTGAAGAGGAGTGGGTCCATCAGCAATGGGAGGAGTTTGGACAGATTAAGAAGGGATAAACCGAGTTTACTTTCGGAGGCCGACAAAAAACGGCTGTCCTTAACCCTGGGCAAGGAAATCCTTCACAAGATGTCGAAACGAGGGGAGTTGACGTCTCCGGTGACGCCCCGTGAGACGCGTGGTGCCATTGCAGTAGCATCAGCAAAAAATCACTCGCAAAGCCCTACGACAAACAGCACGTCACCGAGGACGTGTTATTCCCTGGAGGCTTCTTTGGATGGGGATGGCTTCAAGGCTAAAGAGAAAAGTGATTTTCTGCTCGTTTTAACGCCGAATGGTGACAGTCATGCTGATCGAATCAAAGTAGAGAATGTCCTTGAGGAATGGAGCAGAAAGCCTCCTTTATTGACGATGACTGCTCCACCAACGGCTCCCCTGCGAAATGCCTCCGGCAGTGAAGTTGATTCCGCAACTGAGAGCTCTGAGAACTCGGTGAAAACTGTTGTTCGACGTGAGAACGAGCCAGAAGATGTGCCCAAGAAGATTGAATTCTTCGAGAGCATCGAGAGTCAGAAAAGACCACTCGAAAAATCTCTTAAGAAGTCCAAACTGTCGTCATCGCAGAGCTTCGCAGATTTGAAAGAACTATTCGGTGAGATGGAATCCGCGAGGTATGCGACCTTGCCCCTTCGCTCACATCGCACCGGTACTCAGGGACGAACGACCTCACCCGGAAGTGAGAAGGGGCGAAGCACTTCCGCCTCGCCCGACGTTCCACGTGGCCGATTTGCTGGCATTTTACGCAGGGAACACGAGGACAATCGACCACGCAGCGCCAGTCCATGTCGCGTGTCAACATCCACCGGGAGTTGGGAGAGCATTCGTCATCGTAGTGTCTCGCCGGATCCGGAGAGGTACTGGCGGGCTTATTTGAATCTGGTGAAGCATGGTGCAGTGAGAAGACTCAGGGACAAATTTGAGAGTTTGGAGGATTTATCGGGTGGTCGGGTTAAGCAGGCAGCGACACCGAAGCGATTCCAGAGTGATCCGGAATTGACAAGAAATTTGTTGAAGCGGGTGGAAGAGAAGAAGATTGTGTTCAAGCCGAAGGAAGTATCTGATGTAGCTTGGTTGAGGCGAAAATATGAACCACGGAGAGGAAGAACCAAGTGGAGGAACAAATCACCACCGATTCCACGGATTCCGCTACGGTTGGAGGACCTCCAGATGCCGCACATCAATGTTATCAGTAAAACAGCTGAGCTTAAGGACAGCATGTCGAGGTCTAGCTCGATGAATTCCCTGGCGATCAAAGCAGAAACCGAGGAGCTTGAGGCGAAAAGACCTGTTGGACGAATACGGGAGAAGTTTGAGAAATTGGATGCTGAGGGAATGTCGATACTCGGCGACTTGTTTACCTCGGCGCCTGATGTTCACGAATTGAGGGACATTTCGCCGTATTTGGCGGGCAAATGGGTCGCCCACAAGTATCCCAGCAAGCGTGATAATGCCAGGTCAATCTCACTTCCGCCGGATCTTGAGAGTGGAAAGGGGGAGGTGGTCAGGAGGAAAGCCGCGACTCTACCCAAGAGGGGCGAGCGGAGCAAGGAGGTGAAGGTGACGGGGGGGAAGAGACCTGGGTCGATTCTCAAACAACCGCACGATCCGTTTGCCAATCAGCCATTCGATCCGAGTAAACATCGGCCGAGGTACAGATATCAACCACCACCACCTTTACCACCAGCGCCCAATGTTAGGAAGGCTTGGTGGCCACCTATGCCTACTTATACTGCTCGGCCAACAGTTACTTTTGAAGGTTCGGTGGGAGATAGTTATTCTAACCTGATCACTGTTATTGAGGGATTCAATCTGATTCTCATGTAGAGACAAACTTAGGAAATACGATAGTCGATAATCGATTAGTTTTTTCTTTCGCAATTTTGGTGAAATCATTGAACGAAAAGGGGAAGATGACGTGACGTTGGGATTGAAAATTTTGCTGACTCTAATTTAAGACTAGCTGAATTATTCTATCGCTCTTTGTTTTCGACATATTCAATGAAATGTAAAACTTATATTAATCAGCCTAGGTTTGTCTCTGCACGGTTTGAACGTCTTTTACATTTCGTTATCATTTCTTTTCATTTTCGTTGATTTTTATTTTTCGAAACGTTTCATAGAGTACACGAATGCACCCCCGCCGCCACCAAAAACTCATCAGAGCAGAATCGAGCGACCAGGTAATTCAGAATAAAAAAAAACATTGTCGATCTCATTGATACATTTCCTGTTGTTTTCTGCCTCGTCGTTCTCATGCATCACTCGTCATTTTTTCCCGGTACATTGTCATGTGAATAATACAGAATGACCAAATGCTATTCAGTGGTAAATGTATAAACATTGGAATTACAGTCACGAGGACCACGAGGTTTTCTTCATTAAGATATATGTCACTAGTTTTTTTTTCGGGGAACATTTTTCCTATCTACAATCACGACTGCTCCGCATTTCGATGGAAAAGGGTTTTCATTAAAATGTTCCGGAGTAATTCAAACACATTTTAACCTTCTATATAGTCCGCGTTGTTGAAGGGAAATAATGCTGAATGCAGTGAGATTCTCAATTAGTGCTCGTTATTTGCATGGTTAGAACTGGAAAATGCGCAAGTTTGTATTACATTCCGTTGAACTATTCACGTATAATAATTTGAACCTTTGCATCACTACGGATTCCATCAACAATTCACAACTTTAAATGAATAGAGAGATTGTTTAATGAAGAGAAAACAATCATTTGCAAAATTCTTCCATGAGCTATTGTGCACCCAGAGAAATGCCACATTTCAATCGAATGAAATTTTTTTTCTATTCATTTCAAAATTATTTTTAATAGAAATTCATAAACGCACATATGTAGTTCAGTAAAAAAAAATTTAAGGAGAAACTACTATGAGGTTTAGAAGTCGCGGGCTATTGGAGTGAGATTTCGCATACATAGAAGATCGATATTGTATGTCTAAACACGTATAATTAGTGCAAAAAAATTAACTGTTGATTGTTCGTTTACCCCGCAGATGCTTAAAATGTTTAAAATAGTACAGGGCCTACAATTTTTGAGATACAGAGGTTTTTTGTCAAAAACTAGGAGGAACGTGCGCTCCACACGTGCTAATTCCCCTGCTTTTTGTGATCCCTGCCTCAAAAGTGCACTTTTCGAAACGGATTAGTGTGCGTAAAGCAGTTATTTTCCGCACGGCATGCGTAAAGTTCACGAGCGTGCGTAAGGTGAATTCTCGTGCATAAACTCCGCTCCGCTTCGCTTTACGCACTCGAAATTCACTTTACGAACGCTCTTCAGCTTTACTCATTCGTGCACAAAAACAACCACATTACCCCCACTACCGTTTCAAAAAGTGAACTCGGCAGGTACCACAAAAAATAGGATGTATTACACGTGCGTGTGAAAAAGTGGAACTTTACGCACTGGTAACACAATATACTATTTTACGTTCTAGAACAACAAATACCTTTTGAAATGGTATATGAATAGTTTCATTCACTTGACCAATAGTTATAGAAAAATCCAAACCAAGCTGAATTTACAATAAACATCTTGAACTTCAATTTTTGGATAAGAACTACCGTATGTTAAGAAAAATTAGCTTCAAGCAAATAGTTCAGGGGGCAATTTCAAGGTAATTTAATATATTTTCACCAAGGCATAAGATATCTCTATAGATTTGAACAGAAAGCGAACAAATATCGCCATTAGAAGGAGAAAAATGGAAATAGATAATATGGGATCTCAATTTGATGAACTCGATAAGATTTTGAAATTGACATATGATATATACCCGCTGATCAAGTCTAAGGCCTCAATAAATGGCAAAAACAGTCATTTCTGGGGTGTGACAACGTAAAAAATGAAAACAATCTACAATAACTCCCTGAAAATTAAATCAAATCGTATTTGTCATACACCTTTTTGAAGAATAGTAAATGCTGTTCAAAATTATATGTAGATATCCCTGCCTAGTTTCCTTAGGAGCATCGAAAAATTCAACCAAAGTTAATTTTCCAAGTGAAACATGAAAAATCAATTTTCGCCTACAACTCTCATAAGTCAATGAACAATTGGTACAATTGGGCAAATCAGAAAGCTATGGTTCATGAAACAGGAAGGACTTGAGTACAGAAACCACAGGAAAAACCCTGGTTACGGACACGGATTTTTCTACAGGGGATTTTGAAAAAAATTACTCTGTAGCTCAATAATTGGAGATCCTGGACTATTTTCAACTTTGTAAGCGTGGACGGGCCAAACGAACAATAAACAATTAATTTTTTTGTACTAATTATTCATTTTTGTATAATCAATCTTCAATGCATGAGAAATCTCACTCCCATCGTCCGCGACTTTTAAAACTCATAGTAGTTTCCCCTTAAATGTATGGATCAAAATGTATTTATTTTATATTTTTACAACAATTGTTCATTTTTTCATTATTGTGCAAATCTTTGAACAGCCTCAAGTGCTCCATAAATGAATTCTGAAAGAAAATGAAAAAGCGAATTTTTTTTCAAGAACTTTACTTTCCACAAAAATTGTCTTGTGATATATGTTTCTAAAGCCACTTATCCCCAAGATAATCTCCCGTTTTAACAAAAACGTTATATCTACCTTACGCATCACACCAATTTTTTTAATCACAGAAACGTGAACTCTAGGTATCATATGTTATTCGTCATGAAAAAAACAGAAAAAAATTATGGAAATTAAGTGGAATTTTCTAAAGTTGAAACTGACATGTAGGAAAAATGTAACAGAGTGTGTTTTCTGGTTATACATATGGAATACACAATGCATGCAGCATGCAAGAGTCCAGGAAACTCATCTCGACTTTTATTTATAGTCGCTGCATGGTACGCTGCCTCGCCAGGATACAAAATTACCCTGGGTAGAGATAGTGCTACATTGTGTAACTGATTTTTATGTTGAACAGTGATATAAAATGCCTCGATTTTGCCTTTTTTACGAATAATGCAATGGAATGATATTAATTTGGGGAACAGAAAGGGGAAAATCCACCTACGTTTGGAATTGTTTGGGAGATGGAGTGGGGAGAAAGGGAAAATGCCAGTGTCGGACACAAAAGGAAACGAATTGAACGACAAACGCTGGCGTAACACTGCCGGAAATTACGTAGCTGTGTGTAGAGGAATTATTGCCCTCAGACCGCGCCAGTGCCTGCGAAAATTCGTTTTTGCCGGTGTTGGGGAAAATTTCACTTGATTTCTTGGAAATTCGGTAACATGATCGGATTTTTGGGGGAATTTTATTCCTAAGAAAGGAGAAAATTTTAAGAAAATTGGAACGATTCCATGTTTTGCTTCCGAATGGACGCTTTGTAATCGATGGATCTTGCGATTCTCTAATTTTACTTGCAAACGACTTAGAATGTCATTAGACATTTCGAAAAAATATTTTTAGAAAATGCCTGTGTTTACATCCGTATGTGCGGGCCAAATCCTGCAATTTTTTTTACGAATCTTCACAAAAAAGGGAATACCCGACGGCCTGGCGCAGTGGGTAAGGTCGTAGCCTCACATGGAGAGAAATATTCCATAAAAATTACGTATCTTTGTCCGTAATTCCGGAGCGAAGTGTGGTTGTAGGAAATTATACGCAACTGTCACGTAATTTTTACCTGAATCTCTGGTAAACAATTACGATAACGTCACTTAAATTTTCGGTAATTGAGTTCGGCAATTTTTACTGAACATTTCTCTCTGTGCCCGTGCGCAAGATTCCGACTTTAAATCTTGGTCGGGTAGAGTAGTGAGATCTAACCATTTTAAAGTCTTGATCATCATCGCAATATACACTGTTAGAAAAAAAAATGAAATTTCATGGACAGTTGACTACCAATTTTCAAGACAGTGACACTGAATGGGATTTAGGGGGGAAAAATCATGAAATTTCAGGTTTCACTGGAAATTCAGTAAAATTCCAGAATGTTAAGCGCCATTAAGGCGAGAATTCCTTAATTTATTTGAATTTCCAATCTAATATGAATATTCAGTGTCAAATTACTTCGAATTTTCAGTGAAATCTGAAATTTCATGATTTTTCCACCTAAATCACATTCAGTGTCACTGTCCTAAAAATTCAAGAATATATTTTCCAGGATTTTCTGGTTTTCTATTCATTTTCAGGGATAAATGGAACGACAATTTACACACGGCGAGAAAAATACGAGAAAAATTATCGTACTCGCACAGTAAAGTGGGTTCAGATGGTCTTTCCAGGCGAAATATACCGCAAAGAGTAGTGAATCGTATATTGTGCATCAAGGGCGGAAAGTCACGTTTTCCCGCCCGAGGTACACATGCTATTTTCCGTCCCGGCGGGAGCAAAGCTACATTTCCCTCCCGCTTCGCGGGAAACCCCGGGTTAATGTTTTTCATAATATCAGTTCAGTGAAATATTAATTAGTGTTGTAATAAAACGGTTAAGAAATAAAATAAGTGCCCCTTATTTTCTCTCCTTAAGATGTATAACGCTGTAGAGATACATTGGCCTGTCAAACGTTTCACTACGTTTGCCGCGTATTCCGCTTTTAATATCGGGGAGAGGATATGGAGGAGAGGTTAAAACAAAATTAATATGATGATATGCTGAATGACAATGTTTACTCATTTTTAACTATTGAATAGAATTTATCATGTAATAGAAAACAGTCAGGGATCAAGCTTTCATTATGCGGTCACGAAATTTTTACTATGCAGCACCGGAATTTTTCTGGTGCCAGACAATTGAACCCAATTGTACCAGAGGACACGGTAATAGTTGCCTGCATTTTTCCAGAGAAATTCTGGAATTTTTTTTCTCTGTGCAGTTCTATTTGATTTTTCCACGGAATTCTGAATTTTCAATGACATGATTTGCTGAAATTTCAGTGGAATTGGAACACGATAAAAATTTCCGGAATTTGTCACGAAAAATTCAGACAAAATTTTTTAACAGTGTACTCCACCGAGTCAAAGCGATGTAAAATAACAATAATGAAAGGGCGTAAAGCGATAGCTAAAAAACTGAAATTTTGGCCCGTAATTCGTATTGCTTAGAGGCACTTCTCTAAATTGAGCTAAATGTCAGCTCAATCGGTCCATTAATTTTTGAAATACAGCGATTCTCCAAAATTTTTCTACTGCATCAAATGAAATTTTTCAACTTCGAA